AAAAAAAAAAAAAAAAAGAGGTGGAAGGGCCATGGGCTTGGAGGCTGAGATGCGGGGGGGCTGAAACCTTGGGAGTCAGGTATGTGTGCCCCGCTAGGGCTGCAGGAAACCACTATCCTCAAAAAGGAAACAACACAATAACAAGTCACGTGACCAGGGGAGGGCGTTTCCTGTTTCCCGGCCCCTCCCAGGCCAAGCTTGGCCAGCCCAGGCCTGAACAGGCAGTGGCCAAAGTGACCCCAAGAGAGTATCCAGGGACTCAAGCCTCTGATCAAGTTACCCCCAGAGGATCAGAGAGGTAGAGAGAGCTGAACCCCTCATTTGGGAGGGCCCCGGGAGGAGAGGGAATTCTTGAGATTTCCTTCTCAGGCACAAATACAGGAGGGAAGGGGACAAAGAGGCAGTGAAGGTAAAGAAGGCAGAGAAGGAGGAGGTCAGGACAGCCTTGTTAGGTAGTGAGCTGCCTGTCCAGGGAGGCATTCAAATGTGCCCAATCAACCTTGATAACAAAATCCCTTCCAGAGGGGTAGTCAATGCCGCACTTCACTGCAGAGGAAATTGAGGTTGTCTTTTGTCCTGGACAACGAAGGCAAGAGCCCACAGCAGGTTGCGGTTGTAGGGGGTGACGAAGGGGAAGCATTCAGAGGGCACTGGCTTCTGGACAGCAATGAGTGCCCGGGCCACGCGGCCCCGAAGCCGGCGAGGGAGGCATGTTCCACCCGTAAGTGTCCCCTCTCCCCTCCACACCCAGCTCCCTGGGACACCAAGGTCCTGCCCTGCCTGGCTCAGAGCTGGGCCCTGGGGGTCATTTGCAGGGTGAACTGGACCCCGTGGCTGAGAGTTCAGAGGAGGTCGAGGCAGCCGGTGGAAGCGCCAAGCCCAGCCTTGCCCCACCTCTGGGGGGCTCTGGGCCGGAGCAGCTGGGCCCCACGGAGGAGGTCAGTGGCCAAGGCCTAGGAAGCAGGTAAGACCCGCTTGGTCTATGCCCTTCAGCCCAGTCCAGACGCATCTTTGCCCCCCACAGGTCTGCTGGTGTACCTCCTCTGCTCACTCGCTTGCCATAGCTCCCTGCTGCCCTCAGCCTGATGACTTTCTTTCTTTCCTCTTTCTTTCTTTCTTTCTTTCTTTCTCTTTTTCTCTCTGTCTCTTTCTTTCTCCCTTTCCCTCTTTCTTTTTTTTGAGTCGTGCTCTGTTGCCCAGGCTGCAGTGCAGTTGTACGATCTCCGCTCACAGCAACCTCTGCCTGCCGAGTTCAAGCGGGAGGCTCAGCTTCCCGAGGAGCTGGATTACAGATGCACGCCACCACACCAGGCTAAATAAAGACAGGGTCTCACCGTGTTGGCTAGGCTGGCCTTGAACTTCTGATCTCAAGTGATCTGCCCACTTTGGCCTCCAAAAGTCTTGGGATTACAAGTGTGAGCTGCCGCTCCGAAAGACCTCACTTCCAGAACCTTCTGCCTCTCACCCTCAGGCCTTTCCCGGTGCCTGTCACACTCCAGTGTACTCTGCACTCTCCTTCTCAGGCCCAGGTCTCCCCCCCATTCCTCCACCCCTCTGTCCAGCCTCTTCCCTGAATTCCCAGCCTCCCAGTCTCGCCCTGGGATGCCAGTCCCAGAACACACAGCTCTTGCCAACTCTGTGCCCCGCTCACACCTCCCAAGACCATGAAGTCTAAGCCCCCAGAATTCCCTACCCAGGGCCAGGCATAGTGGCTCACGCCTGTAATCCCAGCATTTGGGGAGGCCGAGTAGGGCAGATCACCTGAAGTCAGGAGTTTGAGACCAGCCTGACCAACATGGAGAAACCCCGTCTCTACTAGAAATACAAAAATTAGCCGGGCGTGGTGGTGGGTGCCCGTAATCCCAGCTACTCTGGAGGCTGAGGCAGGAGAATTGCTTGAACCCGGGAGGCGGAGGTTGCGGTGAGCTGAGATCGCACCACTGCACTCCAGTCTGGGCAACGGAGTGAAACTCCATCTTAAAAAGATAATAATTCTTGGCCGGTCATGGTGGCTCATGCTTGAAATCCAGCACTTTAGGAGGCCAAGGTGGGCAGATTACTAGATCAGGTGTTCAAGACCAGCCTGACCAACATGGTGAAACCCTGTCT